CCTTGAATGTTTTGACAAAATTTTCCGCTGCGCCGTTGGTGGCTGGGTAAAAGGGTGCGGAAAAAGTATGTTTGATTCTGAATTTTCTCAAATAAGATGCAAACTCGTTACTAGTGAACTGGGTTCCATTATCACTAACGATGTGATCTGGATATCCTTTATCGGCAAAAATTGAGTCTATTTCTTTAATCAGATTTTTTGCAGTCGTGTCATTTTTCATATTGACCACGATTGGCCACTTGGAATGTGCGTCAATTGCAATTAAAAACATGCTATCATTAAATTTTGCAAAGTCCATGTGAATTCGGGACCACGGATGACTGGGCCATAACCATGTGGTTAATGGAGTTTTGGTTGGGTATGGTCTTGACTCAAGACAATTCGAATAAGAATTCGCTAAATTCTTGATATCTGCGTCTATGTTTGGCCACCAAACATAGTTTCGAGCAATGTGATTTTAACTATTCCTAGATGAGATGAATGTATCGCCTCCAGTATTTTATTTTGCAAAATTTCTGGGATCACGATTCTGTGTCCCCAAGATAAACAACCATTTTCGTAATTTAATTCGTGACGTTTGTTATAGAAAGTTTTTTCAATTTTCGATAATTCGGTAGTTTTAGGCCAATCCGCCTGGGTATATGAGATGATTTTTCTCAACGTTTTATCGTTACCTAGCACCCGCTTTACGGCTTGAAAATCTACCATTGGGCACTCTTCTTCTACATAATTTATATGAGTATATTCAGTTTCGAAAACTAAGGTTCTATCGTCTGTAGGCAATCTTGATAGTGCGTCGCAATTACCGTTCGCTTTTGATTTTACTATTTCGACTTTATATCTATATCCGGACAGAAAATATGCCCATCTTTGTAGATGACTGTGTAACATCGTTGAGATGTTTTTATTTCCGAAAATAAATTTTAAAGGTTCGTGATCGGTTTTTAAAATTATCTCATTTCCATAGATATATTGATAGAATTTTTTGAAGCCGAATATAATAGCACCTGCCTCTTTATCTATTATGGCCCGATGCCTTTCTACTTTCGGAATGATTTTAGACGCGAACGCGATCGGTCGTTCCTCACCGTTTGCGTATCTATGTGAAAGGATTGCTGACAACCCGTGGTTACTCGCGTCACAAGCTAATACTAGTTGTTCGTTCGGATCGCATAAGGCTAATAACATTATCTGACGTTATTTGGCTTTTGATCCAGTCAAATCCTTTTTGACAGTCTTTATTCCATTTAAAATTTTTACTTTTGCATAACTCATATAGAGGTTTAACATATTCGGCTCTATTTTTTAGGAATCGTTCGTAAAAGTTAACTAAGCCTAAGAAAGCTTCTAATTCTTTGACGTTCTTTGGAATAGGTACGTTTTTTATTGCTTCAATTTTAGATTTGCTTGGCTGTAACCCGCGCTTGTTTATAACAAATCCTAACATTTCTATCTCCTCTTTGAAAAAATCACATTTATCTAGGTTGACCCTGCTTTCTCTAGTTTATCAAATATTTCGGTCAAGATTTCGATATGCTCTAGATCCGTTTCACCTGTACAATAGATGTTATCTATATAAATTTCAGTGTGTTTTATGCCTTTGAGAATCTCTTTTATTACGTCCTGACATTCCGCGGGACTAGAGGCAATTCCTTCGCCTAACTTAGTGTATCTGTACAGCCCTTCGTGAGTAATTATTGTTAAGGCTTCCCTAGATTCGTCATCTAATTCTAATTGCATAAATGCGTGACGTAGGTCTATTTGAGACCATTTGCTTCCTACTCTGAGAGTGTTAAATATTTTCTCTTTCAAAGGAATAGGGTGTCGTTTTATTATGAGTTGAGGGTTGACTGTCAGTTTGAAATTTCCGCATATACGAACATCACCATTTTTTTTAAGTACGGGAATTATCGGTGTCGCCCACTTGATGCAAGCAACTTTTTCTAAGTTACCTAAATCTACTAGTCTTTGAATTTCTTTTGATATTTTAGGTAATAAAGCAAAGGGTGCGTGATGAGGTTTCATCTGTATAGGATTTGCACTGTCTTTAAACACTAAATGAATTTTTCTGCCTTTGTAGCAGCCCTGCGTATTAGAAAACAATTTTGGAAATTGCTCAAGCATCCTTTGCTTTACCTCCTCGGTAGTTACCTTGTATGTGTGCGATTCCTGAGAATTATTACGTAAACTGGAATTTTTTAAAATTGAATTAATCGGCCACAATTTGAATGCTTTGAGCCATTGTCTACCTAATAGCATTGGACCTGAACCTTTGATCACGTAAATATCCAAGTTATTTGACATATTATTAAGTTGTACTTTTAAATTTTTTAGTCTACCTAGCGGTTGTAGAACATTTCCATCGTAACTTGTGTCACGGTCTGACAAAGTCAAAGTTTCGTCCGTTTTTCGGTCAACACATTTAAGTGCTTTACCGGGGATTTGGACTTGATTGTGTGAATTTAATTATTAATTTGGTCTTAATTATTTTTGAACTTGTTCTTTGTTTTCTAACTCAGATAGTAATTTATGTAGTTTTTCAAATAGGGAAATTGGATCTTGGTTAGAAGATAAGGCTTCCTTAATTTGGTATTTAATTCTCTTGAGTTGTACGCGTTTTCCACCTTTCTTTCTTGTCATAAGGATAAAGGTAGGAGATTGATGCTTTGTCCGCCACTCTATAGGCAGCGATCAAATTGACTTAGGAAATCTATTCGCCACACAATTAGGCAGCGATCAGATGAAATGGAGGATTTCGTTGAAATGAATTGTTGTTAATTAATACTAAAGCTTACTTTATTTTAAAGTGAACAATTCCTTGAATCGGAATAAATTCGAATCAACAGTTAAAACAACTAAGTCTTAGGTTAGTGTTAATCTGTTAATCTAAAACTGTCTGACTCTGAACTGAACTGAGGTCTAAAGACTCTGCTGAAAAAGCTCAACAGCTGAAAGCTTAAAGCACCTGTCCCGAAGATTCTCCTTATATTTATAGTTGAATCCCCCCACGATATTTTAAGTGGAGGAGGAAGGTGTTCTCTGTTCGAAACACCATCCTGGCAACAGTTATCCCTGCTACCATGGTACCTGCTTCGCTCGGGTTGTAATACGATAGACGATCGCGATGTCTCCCACGGAGAAACTTGATTATTAATCAATATCATTGGTATGCCCATTGCGCTGTAAGAGTTCAATAATTTTCTTCTGATTTATTTTAGATTTAAAAGTTTTAATTCAAAAGTTTTATGCTGATTTACACGTACGTTACACTTGTCAGTACTAGATCTACTTTGTCTAGCATTAAATGTGGAAAATACTTGCGCCTATCTTGCTCTGAGATAGCTGAGACATAGGTACCAGTATCAATTTCCATTTTAAGTACTTGGTTATTTACCTGAATATCTGCAAACATTGGGTCTGCTTTAATTTTATGACATTGTGAATCGTTATATTTGTTTTTGCCTTGAATTGAATAAAAATCTGTATCAAATTTTGAGTGTTCAATGAGTTTTATTTTATTATTGCTACTGCTCTTACAGTTACAAGTTGATTCTGTTTGAGAATCTGAATCTGAATCTCTGTCTTCATCTCTAAGCAAATGCATACTTTTATCTTTTTTCTTATA